TTTTATCGAAGGCCTTTTCTGCATCTATTGAGATAATTGTGGTTGTTGTCATTGGTTCTGTTTATGTGATGAATTACATTTATTAATTTGCATATGTTGAACCAGCCTTGCATCCCAGGAATGAAGCCGACTAGATCGTGGCAGATAAGCTTTTTGATGTGCTGCTGGATTCAGTTTGCTAGGATTTTATTGAGGATTTTCGGATCGATGTTCATCAGGGATATTGGCCTGAAATTTTCTTTGTTGTGTCTCTGCCAGGTTTTGGTATAAGCCAATATTTGGCCTCATAAAATGAGTCAGGGATGAGTCCTTCTTTTTCTATTGTTTGGAATAGTTTCAGAAGGAATAGTACCAGCTCCTCTTTGTACCTCTGGTAGAATTTGGCTGTGAATCTGTCTGTTCCTAGGCTTTTTTTGGTTGGTATGTTATTAATTACTGCCTCAACTTCAGAACTTCTTATTGGTCTCTTCAGGGATTCGACTTCCTCCTGGTTTAGTCGTGGGAGGGTGTATGTGTCCAGGAATTTATCCATTTCTTCTAGATTTTCTAGTTTATTTGCATATAAGTGTTTATTGTATTCTCAGACGGTAGTTTGTATTTCTGTGGGATCAGTGGTGATATCCCCTTTATCACTTATTATTGTGTCTATTTGATTCTTCTCACTTTTTTTCATTAGTCTGGATAGACGTCTATCCTTTCTGTTAATCTTTTCAAAAAACCAGTTCCTGGATTCATTGAAGGGTTTTTTGTTTCTCAATCTCCTTCAGTTCTGCTCTGATCTTAGTTATTTCTTGCCTTCTGTTAGCTTTTAAATTCGTTTTCTCTTGATTCTCTAGTTCTTTTAATTGTTATGTTAGGTGTTAATTTTAGATCTTTCCCACTTTCTTCTGTGGGCATTTAGTGGTATAAATTTCCCTCTAAACGCTGCTTTAGCTGTGTCTCGGAGATTCTGGTACATTATCTCTTTGTTCTCATTGCTTTCAAAGAACTTATTTATTTCTGCTTTAATTTCATTATTTACCCAGCAGTCATTCATGAACAGGTTGTTCAGTTTCCATGTAGTTGTGCAGTTTTTAGTGAGTTTCTTAATCCTGAGTTCTAATTTGATTACACTGTGGTTTGAGAGAATGTTTGTTATAATTTCCATTCTTTTGCATTTGCTGAGGAATGTTTTACTTCCAATTATGTAGTCAATTTTATAACAAGTGTGATATGGAGATGAGAAGAATGTATATTTTGTTGATTTGGGGTGGAGAGTTCTGCTGATGTCTATTAGGTCCACTTGGTCAAGAGCTGAGTTCAAGTCCTGAATATCCTTGTTAATTTTCTGTCTGTTGATCTGTCTAATGTTGACAGTGAGGTGTTAAAAGCTCCCACTATTATTGTGTTGGGGGCTACATCTCTTTGTAGGTCTCTAAGAACTTGCTTCATGAATCTGGGTGCTCCTGTATTGGGTGCATATATATTTAGGATAGTTAGCTCTTCTTATCTCATTGATCCCTTTACCATTATGTATTACCCTTCTCTGTCTTTTTTGATCATTGTTGGTTTAAAGTCTGTTTTATCAGAGACTAGGATTACAACCCCTGCTTTTTTTTCCCTATCCAGTTTCTTGTAAATATTCCTCCATCCCTTTATTTTGAGCCTATGTGTGTCTTTGCAGGTGAGATGGGTCTCCCGAATACAGCACACTGATGGGTCTTGACTCTTTATCCAACTTTCCAGTCTGTGTCTTTTAATAGAGACATTTAGCCCATTTACACTTAAGGTCAACATTGTTATGTATGAGGTTGATCCTGTCATTATGATGCTACCTGGTTATTTTGCTCGTTAGTTGATGCAGTTTCTTCATAGTGCCAATTGTCTTTACAATTCGGTATGTTTTTGCAGTAGCTGGTACCGGTTTTTCCTTTCCATATTTAGTGCTTCCTTCAGGAGCTCTTGTAAGGCAGGCCTGGTGGTGACAAAATTTCTCAGCATTTGCTTATCTGTAGAGGATTTTATTTCTCCTCCACTTATGAAGCTTAGTTTGACTGGATATGAAATTCTGGGTTAAAAATTCTTTTCTTTAAGAATGATGAATATTGGTCCCCACTCTCTTCTGGTTCTGGCTTGTAGGATTTCTGCAGAGAGTCCACTGTTAGTCTGATGGGCTTCCCTTTGTGAGTAACCCAACCTTTCTCTCTGGCTGCCCTTAACATTTTTTCCTTCATTTCAACCTTGGTAAATCTGATGATTATGTGTCTTGGGGTTGCTCTTCTTGAGGGGTATCTTTGTGGTGTTCTCTGTATTTCCTAATTTGAATGTTGGCCTGTCTTGCTAGGTTGGGAATTTCTCCTGGATAATATCCTGAAGTGTGTTTTCCAACTTGGTTCCATTCTCCCCATCACTTTCAGGTACACCAATCAAACATAGGTTTGATGTTTTCACATAGTCCCATGCTTCTTGGAGGCTTTGTTCATTCCTTTTCATTCTTTTTCTCTAATATTGTCTTCATGCTTTTTTATTTCATTAAGTTGATCTTCAATCTCTGATATTCCTTCTTCCACTTGATCAATTCAGCTATTGACACTGGTGTATGCTTCACAGAGTTCTCATCCTGTGTTTTTCAGTTCCACCATGTCATTTATGTTCTTCTCTAAATTAATTATTCTACTTAGCAATTCCTCTATCCTTTTTGCAAGATTCTTAGCTTCCTTGCATTGGGTTAGAACATGCTCCTTTAGCTCGGAGGAGTTTGTTATTACAAACCTTCTGAAGCCTACTTCTGTCAATTCATCAAACTCATTCTCTGTCTAGTTTTGTTCCCTTGATGGTGAGGAGTTGTGATCCTTTGGAGGAGAAGAGGTGTTCTGGTTTTTGGAATTTTTAGCCTTTTTATGCTGGTTTTTCCTCATCTTTGTGTATTTATTTACCTTTGGTCTTTGACATTGGTGACCTTTGGATGGAGCTGTTGTGTGGACATCCTTTTTGTTTATGTTGATGCTATTCCTTTCTGTTTGTTAGTTTTCCTTTTAAGTCAGGCCCCTTTGCTGTAGGTCTGCTGGAGTCTGCTGGAGGTCCACTCCAGACCCGTTTGCCTGAGTATCACCAGCGGAGGCTGCAGAACAGCTAAGATTGCTGTTTGCTCTTTCCTCTGGAAGCTTCGTCCCAGAGAGGCACCTGCCAAATGCCAGACGGAGCTCTCCTATATGAGGTGTCTGTTGACCCCTGATGGGAGGTGTCTCCCCATCAGGAGTCACAGGGGTCAGGAACTTATTTGAGGAGGCAGTCTGCCCCTTAGCAGAGCTCAAGCGCTGTGCTGGTGAATCCACTGCTCTCTTCAGAACCTGCAGGCAGGAACGTTTAAGTCTGCCGAAGCTGCGCCCACAGCCGCCCCTTCCCCCAGGTGCTCTGTCCAAGGGAGATGGGAGTTTTATCTATAAGCCCCTAACTGGGACTTCTGCCTTTCTTTCAGAGATGCCCTGCCCAGAAAGGAGGATTCTAGAGACGCAGTCTGGCTGTAGCTGCTTTGCTGAGCTGCGATTGGCCCGACCAGTTCGAACTTTTGGTGGCTTTGTTTATACTGTGAGGGGATCAGAATCCTCCTTCCAAAATCTGTGTAGCCCTTAAGTCTGTATACATAAACTCCATTTTAAAATGTTAAAAACTGGTCACGAACATGATTCACCAAGGTGGTATGAAATAATTAAGCATGACCTAGGTAAGGAAATTGCAAGGTTGAGCCACTAGTGTCAACTATGACCATTAAAACAGAGCTTCTCCTGGCCAGGCGCGGTGGCTCACACCTGTAATCCTAGCACTTTGGGAGGCCAAGGTGGGTGGATCACAAGGTCAGGAGATCGGACCATCCTGGCTAACACAGTGAAATTCCGTCTCTACTAAAAATACAAAAAATTAGCTGAGTGTGGTGGAGGGCACCTGTAATCCCAGCTACTCGGGAGGCAGAGACAGGAGAATGGCATGAACCCGAGAGGCAGAGCTTGCAGTGAGCTGAGATCACGCCACTGCACTCCAGCCTCAGCGACACTGCACTGCAGCCTGGGTGACAGAGTGAGACACTGTCTCAAAACAAACAAACAAACAGCTTCTCCTACGGTTCAGCAAATCATGCCAACTACTATAGCCCTGAGCTATTGGAAGCAGAAGGTGGTGAGTGAGGATCCAACCCCATCATTTACAGTAACCTCAGGGAATCAATGAGAAAGGTTTCTTGCCCTTAGCATTCAGGAATGAATCAAAAACGGGTCAGTGAAAGAGCTCATACCAGGTAGTTCAATAAAAGGAATTTACTATAGGAAACTAGTTGCTCAACTAGTGGGAAAGCCAAAAGGCCAAACAGGGGAGACTGGGAAAAAATAAGAAAGAGTGGGGCAACACAGAGATTAACAACAGTAAGAAGTGTCTACTGTACTCATAGACAGAAGGCAAAGACAAATGCTATTGATATCCTGAGAGCTCAGGCTATCCAACAATGATAATATCACAAGATAGGAATTGTTTGGCAAAACCATGAATGTAGGTGTAGCCACTGCTGAAGATGCCACCCAAAAGAGAAAGAAAAAGAAATACCTAGTCTTCTTCCTTCTTCCTGCCCTATATACTCCTGCAAGAGGGTCCTCTTAGCTGAGAAAGCTAGAAGTCAGTTGACAAGGAAGCCTGGGAAATGCAATTTTCAGAATTTAGTCCCTAACACTACAGAGTAAAGGTGGAAAATGGAATTAATTGCAAATAGTCAAACGACCTGCACAAGATATTCCTAAACCTTCATATGCCAACTCAATTTGAAAGCTATATGATAACCCATAATTTGTACAGATTTTTCAATGCTGAAGTATATTATCAAAATATTATTATCTTATGGAGTATGAAGAATAAAAACACAGACAACATTCTAGTTTGCTAGTTAATATAATTATTCAAGTGTTATTTACAAATGGGAAGCAACAATAATAGTAAGTAAAAAGTAAATTCTAATTGAAAATTATCATTTTCTGGTTATCAGTAGAAAAATTATGTCTTAGAATTTACACTAATATATATACATACTATAATCATTCCAGTAGTACCTTAAATTGCTATTTTTAAGAAAAAACTCAACCATATTTAATAACAAGATGTGTCTCCTCTTGTGATTATTTTACTACTAAAGCATAAGAGGGTGGTTTACGTGCATCAGAAGTCCCCTTCAAAGCTGTTTCTCAGATTACTTGAAAAGAGCAGTTGAAGAGGCATGCAAACAGGTTTCAATAAGCCCAGTTCATATTTCTTCAACTGTGCTTTCCAAGGCCTTTCAGTTTAGCTGTTGAGATTACAGGCATGAGGCTCTGTGCCTGGCTAAGAATCCATCTATTTGCATTTTTCAGCTTCTAGAGGCACCCACATTCCTTGGCTATAGCCTTGTCCATCTTCACAGTCAGCGAGGGCTTGTCAAGTCTCACATCTTATTCACTCTGACTCTGACCCTTCTGCCTCTTTTCCACATTTAAGGACCTTTGTGATTACACAAGTCCACTCAGAAAATCCAGTATAATTTCTCTCTTAATGTCAGCTGATTAGCAATGTTAATTCCTCCCTCCCATATAATTGGAAACATATAGGTTCTGGGGTTAGGATGTGGGCATCCTGGAAAGCCACTATTCTGCCAGTCACCCCTGGTTTAACTTTTTTTTTAAATTGAACTTTTCACTGAAGCATAACAATATGGGGAAGGTACCCACCTCACACCTCTAGGCCACTGTGGGGTCAGGGTAGGGGCAGCATGCACCCAGGTCATGGCTGTGCAGAGACGGCTGGGTACCCAGGGCAAAAAGGGAGTCCTGCCAGGAAGCAGGAGGAGGGAGTGCATTTGTTCATTCATTAAGCATGTACATTGAAGTCTTGCTATGGGTTATAGATACAGTGGTGAGCAAGGTGGACAGAAACCCCTACCCTCAGGGAGTTCCCAGTTAGTGAAACGGACAAAATAAGGCAGATCAAAGTACTCTAATACACCATGGGTCATTTATCTTCCTCCTAGTGGTGCATGTTGCAGCTATTCCTGTTTGTGGGGAGCAGATAGGTTCCTTTACATCTAGAGTGAGGTGGCACAACAGCATATGCTGCCAGGAAGAAGTTGGGTGTCAGCAGACTTCACCCATGCAGCACCTTTTTCTTTGTTGCCACCTGGCATCACGAAGGCCACTGTAGCTGGGGCCTGGTTCCCACATTGCTCCTTCCAAGTCCAGTGCATTCATGCATCTGAATGCTCTCTCCTGGGCATCCCCACTGCACCCTCCTCTATGCTCCCCTCACAGACTCTACTCATACTCCTTATGCCAACTGTTTTTTCCTTCCTCTCCCCTTCCTTTCCTTATTCTGTTCTTTCCTCTTCCTTTCCTTATTCCTTACTTTCCTCTTCCTTATTCTGTTTCTCCCTCTGTCTCTTCCTTTCCTGGTTTGCAAAACTATATTTTTAAATAGTCAAAGCCACTTGTACCTTGAACTTTCAAAATCATTATTTTAATCCTTCCTCTTCCCATCTCACCACAAACTCTTTTGCCCTGGAACAGAGATTAAGGGACATTTCCAGTTTTTGCTTCTTTCAGACTTGGAAACTAGACCCAAAGTCAAACTGTCAGTTCTAAAGCAAGGTATCCCTGAAGAAATATCCAACAGTGTCATCTTGGTAGAAAGATTTCTGTAGGATGGTCTGTGGTACTGCAGGGGTGAGGACACTGTGAGCCACTGGGAATGGAATTGTGAGAGCCTAGAGAGCCTGGCAGTGCTGGCGGCCTTCATGCCTATGAAGATGCCTGTTCAGGAGCAGTAGCAGAGGAATGGGTTTAGGAAAAACGTAAGTCTGAACCCTGATTTCCCACATCAAACAATGACTCCTGAACGACGAGGCCCTCACACGTGGGGAACACATGGAAAAAGGGAGAAGTCAGACCTAAATGTTCTATAGAAAACCTATGTAAAAGAGAAACCCCACAAATGTCAGGAATGCAGAAAGGCCTTTAGTCACAGCTCAGCACTTATCGAACACCACTGTACGCACACAGGAGAGAGACCTTATGAATGTCACGAATGCAGAAAAGGCTTCCAAAACGGCTCAGCACTTACCAAACACCAGAGAATCCACACTGGGGGGAAACCCTATAAACGCACTCAGTGTGGGAGGACCTTCAACCAAATTGCCCCGCTGATCCAGCACCAGATAACTCACACAGGTGAGAAGCCCTATGAGTGCAGCGAATGTGGGAAATCCTTCAGTTTTAGGTCCTCCTTTAGCCAACACGAGTGAACTCACACAGGCGAGAAGCCCTACAAGTGCAGCAAGTATGTGAAAGCCTTCCAGCAAAGCATCCACCTCACCTAGCACCTGTGAATCCACAATGGGGAGAAACCCTATCAGTGTGGTGAGTATGTCAAGGCCTTCAGCCACAGCTAGTCCTTGACCAAACACCAGCAAATCCACACAGGGGAGAAGCCCTGCGAAAGCCACGAGTGTGGAAAAGCCTTCACCAAGATCACACCACTGATTCAGCACTGGAGGACCCACATAGGAGAAAAGCCCTATAAGTGCAGTGAGTGTGGGAAAGCCTTCAGCCAGAGCACACTCCTGACCAAGCATTGGAGGATTCACACAGGAGAGAAGCCCTACGGATGCAACCAGTGTGGGAAAACCTTCAGCCACAGCTCCTCACTCAGCCAGCACAAGCAGATGCACACAGGAGAGAAGCTGTTTGAGTGCAGTCAATGTGGGAAGGCCTTCCAGCAGAGCATACGCCTCACTCAACACCAGTGAATCCACAGACGGGAGAAGTCCTACGAATGCAATGACTGCAGCAAGGCATTCAGCCACAGCTCATCCCTCACCAAACATCAGCGAAACTACACTGGGGAGAAGCCTTACGAATGCAACCAGTGTGGCAGAGCCTTCAGCCGGCTTGCTCCCCTCATTCAGCATCAGAGGATCCACACAGGAGAGAAACCCTATGGATGTAACCAGTGTGGCAGAGCCTTCAGCCGGCTTGCTCCCCTCATTCAGCATCAGAGGATCCACACAGGAGAGAAACCCTATGGATGTAACCAGTGTGGCAGAGCCTTCAGCCAGATCTCCCTTCTCATTGAAAACCAGAGGATTCACACCAAGAAAAAGCCCTACAGGTGCAATAGGTGTGGGAAATCCTTCAACCACAGCTCCTTCCTCAGCCAGCACAAAAGGACACACACTGGGGAAAAGCCTTACGAGTGTCACGATTGTGGAAAGTCCTTTAGGCAGAGCACCCACCTCACTCAGCACTGAAGGATCCACACAGGAGAGAAGCCATATGCATGCAGGTACTGTGGAAAGGCCTTTATACACAGCACCTCCATTACTAAGCACCAGAGAACTCACATTGGATAAACCCACTCCACATGTGCTGGGGACATAGGAAGACCTTAAGCCACAGCTCATCCCTTTCTAGATTTGACCCAATCATATACATGAGAAACATATATTCATACACAAGTCTTTTCACATGGCACACCTCTCAGACACCCTCAGAGAGTTTATACTGATGGGAAATTACCATGGAACCACCAAGCTCTAGGTCATCCATCCCTGCAGCCAAACAGTAGCGGGAACTGCCAGCCTGGAAGCTTCCCCCTGAAGCAAACAGCCTGAGCTATACCTTGGGCACTTTTGGGTATGGCTGAGCAGTTGGGAATGCAGGGTGCATCATTTAGTACCTAGACGGCACACAGCAGAAGGAAACCCTGGGCCTGGCCGAATGAAACCATTTTTTCTTCCTAAGTCTCCAGGCTGTGATGGCAGGGGCTGCCCACAGAAGTCTCTGACATGCCCTGGGAGCCATTTTTTTCCATGTCTTGGGCATATAAACTTTCAGGCTTCCTCATTACTTATCTGCAGTTTCTGGCAGCTGGGCTTGACTTTCTCCTCAAGAAAGTGGAATTTTTTTTTATTGGAGAGCGCTTTACATTTCAGTTCTTCCCATGCACTCTCTAAATATCATGCAAAATATAGACTAACTGCAAGAAATAATGCAGGGAATAATTTGACAACAGCCTGTTATAGTCACTGATATGTTGTCATGTGGATTCCAAATCTGTGCTTGCGCCAGGTACTGCTGATCAAACAAATGTTACACCAAATCAGGACAGCATTTTTACTGAGACTGTCAAGGTATTCCATAGTGATTCCACTAAATGATGACCTCTTATTTTCTGGAACACTCATGCATATTGTCATTTGAGGGAGATATCATGAGTCAACCGTGCACCAGTCATAAAGCCGGCTTCCCTGCTGAAAAATGTAGTGTAACACTTAATGGGAATTCTGACTTATTTGGTTCTTGTATAGGTGGAAGAGGATTTTTTGGTTTCTCACGCAACTTGAAACATGTCTCGGTTAGAATACAGTGAATGCCTTGACCAAAAGCGTTTCCCTGGAACCCAGCATTTTTGGGCGAGACCGGAGTG